AATACTAAACGGGGAGCCAGTGCAGAGATGCTGGTACAGATGTAACATATTCCCTTTCTTTATGTTTGCATAGTAGTCTGGCACTCGTAGTTGTAAGTAGTGACTCAAGGCCTGGTCGATACCAAAATAAGGAGAGCTGCAATAATTGAGTCTTGAGGATAATGGAGAATGGAGGACTTTTTCTAAATCTTTAGGTGACGACAACGTCCTGATCTTGGATACGATTCTAAACAGGAAGAGGCTATCAAATTTCAGAGCAAATTATTACATTTTTTTTGCATAGGGTCTGGTGGAGTTGGATAACTGGCTGAGGGACTGGACGGTGGTGCTGATGGAGTTTAGGAGATGGATAAATATGATATCTCTATTGTGTGGATTTAATTGTAGAAATTTATCAGCTATCTGTGCTTTGGTATCATCCAAGCATTTAGCGAGGATAGTGGGTCTGGTCTTTTCATTGGGTTGAATGGGGAGGGGCAGTAGTGTGTCATCTATGGAGCAATGAAAAGAGATATTGTGGTTTTGAATAATTTAGCCTCGCAGAAGCATGTAGGTGGAAAATAGAAAGGGACCAAGGAATGAGCCTTGAGGGACATCCTTCATAGACACATAAAATGCAACCTTAGATATAAAATATTTGGTAATTTATGAGCAAACAATGCAAAGTTACTTAGTAATAACTAAGTATTGTTTTCTTTTCTTGATTAGTATTACACTGCCATGGATCCATTCCGGAATCCCTATCTTGGAAAGTGCTCTGTGAAGATCTACTCAGACATGTTTGATGCTTGCTCTTACCCAGACAAAGAATGGTGAGTGTTTCTGCCTTAATTACATCACATTTCACAAGTAGTTCTCATGAAACTAGGAGCCTGTTCATAATTGGTATTAACACGTGTTTCAGTCACCAATTCATGCATCGCCATACACACCTGTCCATCGTGTCTCCGGGCGACCACTTGTGTTCAAATTTCAAAACTGCCTATGTCACTGATGCTAGAAAGTCAGAGGGCCCAGTGATTATGTCCACACTCTCATTCCTTGTTTGCTAGCATGCTCACGAGTCATGTTATCAGTTTTTTTGGTACAGCTGGAGCTGTCACTGCCAGCAGAAATTAGGTTTACTTCCATGGGGCAAAGTGACAGATGGTTGCACAACACTTCATACAAACTTGTTGTATAATGGGTAACAGAGCATTATCAGGCTGTTACCAAAACAACCACCAAGTTCTGCGCCGATGACGTATTTTCCTGCTTGTCGGAGATACATCAGTACGCGTAAGTGTTTACACTACAAACGATTTGTGGTCAAATGTGTACCAGACCACCTTGGCAAGTTGTTTTAGTAAGGATCATAATGCGTCATGGTGGTTGTTTGCACTTGTGTTTAGCACTGATCACCCAAGTTGATGTTAACACCAGTAATAAACAGGCTGTACAAGAATAAATGCTATGAATACATTTTTATTTACAGCTAAAGTGAGAATCAGACATATACACTGTGACATCTGGGAGTTAACTGCCACACAGCAACTTAAACTTGAGCACTTGGGGTCAAATGTCTTGCTCTGGGGCATCTCAGTATATAGTCATGGGAAAGGAGAGTATTTGATTCATTACAGCCTCGATTTTTTCTTTTGTGTCCAGGAATGACTGTCTGAGGGTAAAGAGGACTATGCCACTGAGTAGCTACTTCGGCATGGTGGAGACCTTCTCCACCTATCAGAGATTTCTACAGAAGGACCCAGTTCGGGCTCAACATATTTCTAATGACATCAGGAACAAGTGAGATATTAACCTTCAACGCATACATTAGTCTAATTGTTAAAGGTGCTGTAAACATTCAGAACACAACACAATTCAGAACATAATATACCAGCAAACAACTTTTTGTAGTTAAAAGATATAGTGGAGTGATGGCGGCCTGAGCAGAGACTAAACTTATGCTCCCTACGAATGTAATAATATGAGCTTCTCTGTTCTTTGTTGTGGGAACTGGTCCAGCCTTACATCAGTGCATATGAAGCCCTATGTGTGTATTCTACTGGCAAGCTAATCGTGGACGCCCTGCACTTTGCTGATAACAACCCGGTCTCACTCCGAAGTCATCGAAATCCGGTGCTTGGGCAGTGACTTACGGGAAAAGCCAGCCATGTCTTTGATAATGGTGGTCTGTGGAGAAGATGCTTTGGGTCTGCAGGTTGTTTTTTTTGCTGCAACACCCTATATGGTGACTGGAAAAAATTGGAAGCATGTTGACACTGTTAGCTTTCTAAGCACTGTTGCCATTGTTGGTGCTGTTTGCTGCTAGGCACCAGCTCAGCCGCCTCCATGCAAAGAGCCTTGTGCAAGCAATCTACTCAAACTCTGAAGGTGACAACGAGCAAAACTGTGTGTAAATCTTCCCAAACTGTGATAGTAATTAAATACAATGTCTGTTTTTTTAAATCCATGTAAAAGTTATGGCTCAGCACTTCCATTTTGTTTGCTGGGCTATTCTGTCCTGTCAGTGGCAGGGGAATTAATGGTGGCTATATTATCAAAGCAGTAAATGCTTTCAACAGTTAAGCTTAGTCAAGCAGTGTTTGATTTTTCAGATTAATGCCCAAGACTGTGACAGCATTCAAAGACAAATTTCAGCGGTTTTTGATAATGATAAATTCATTTAAGTGGAGATTAAGAGATCAACGTTCAGCACCAGGCAAGTGGAGGTGAGAGCTCAGGGCCAGAAGTTTTAGGAGCTGTATGCATCATTCAGAGTATGTGTTTTGTCTTTTGTAGTCCATTCGTCCGTCCATTAATTCATTTCAGATCCTATTTAACCACTCTCTTTTCTTCATCATCAATCCCAGGTTGTTGACTGCAATGAAGACATCTTCATCTGACCCAGAAGTAACAGTGGTTGTCAAGTATTTCTATTGGCTGGGACGCAAACCTTGTTCACTCTGAATGGCTGAATCCTGTGCACCAGATAAGTTAGGTGCATACAAATCTAATAGTGCTACACCTTTTATATGGCGAGAATTGTGTGAAATAAAAAGTCTTTATCCTTTTAAACTATGATTTGTTGTGTTTATTTTTATATAGAGGTATTTGATCAGTGCCATTTATAACAATTAATATCAATTAAATAGACAAAAAAGAAACAATTTAACTACATAACCTGCTTATTCACTTGTGATAGAAGCACAAATATCAAGGAAACATGACCAAATAAATAAAATATGCTCAAAATTGGGAAGGAAAAACCCTCCACTTCTGAACTGCTTCCAGCTTGGTGTGACGCTTTGTGGAGGAGGGAACAAACAGCTGCACCACGGACAGTGGTGCCCAGTGGAATTCTGTCTCCTTCCTCCCTGACAGTCAAGATGGTGGCAAAGACAGCAAAAAATGGGGATTTTTTTTTTCATCTCATATTGTGCCTAATTTTAGTGGATCACAATATATCAGCCATAGAATTAATCTGCAGGTCCCCCAGTTCAAAATGAGACCAAACTACTGNATGGCCTACAACAGGCTGTAAGGCTGAACAAATTTCCAAATTTTACGGTCCCTACCGGCTAGTTAAGAGGAGTGAGGAGTAGCAGTCAATAATGATGTTAAACAGTCAATGAAACAGGTCTTTCAACTATTGAGAATAACTGCAACCCTGAAAGGCTGATTGGTCCAGTAGTTTGCAAGATTAGCTGTGGACAGACAAACAGGAGATATGATACAATACAATACTACATGATAAGATAAGACAGAACTTCATTCATCCCAAGGGTAACTTCAGCAACAGTTGCAGTACAAATTAGGGTAAGTGCAAATATAAATCATCAATCAGGTGCAAATCCGGATCATACACAATGCCAAACAGGTTAATGTTACGGATCATAGATGTATGAGGCCTGGCATATCGTTCTATATGTTCAGAAATATATGGTTGGTTAATATGGAATGTTCCCAATTATGTCCATAATATTGCACTAAATTTCCCATAAATCAGAGAGTAATCCACAAAGAGACAGAAATCCAGAGAGAGATTGAAACAAACCGCCTCAGCTCCCCATGTCTCTGCTGGTCAATGAAGTTGATTGTGGCAGGATTTCCTGTGGGGCTTCATGGTGCTAACAGTCTGCTGATAAAGGTGCTCCTGTGCATAACCAGCACATCATGGAGAGGATGAGAGTCATTGTCCATGATGCTCCACAGCTTATGGCATCCTCTTCTGTGACACCACCAGCAAAGCTCCACCCTCAGGACAGAGCCAGCCTTTCAGACAAGCTTGTTGATCTCTTGATGTTGGCTGCCCTCACCCTGCTGTCTCTACACACAGCAAGTAATGTGTGAGCTCTCAAGTGTTGAAGAGACTTAAAATGCAGCTTGTTTTCCTTCAGCCCAAAGTGATTTGTGTGATGACTGGGCAGAAAATTCAGGGCTAAAACTGACTACCTAGGTTCATGACTGTAAACTCTCTTAACAAAAGAGAAATGGTTCATGCAAACAGACAAGTTTGTGTTTTTAAGAGATGGCACCAGTCTTGTTTTTAAATTAATCCAAATTTTAGCCACATTTACAACCCTGCTACAGGAGATCAGATAATGAAATACACTCAGCAGCTCTTTCCTTTTCACCACAGTGCCTCATATCATATGTGTGCATTTATTGCCATCTGCTGGTGTTTGCAAGCAAGTGCAAAAATCTAGATTTGGAAAATCACAGCATTTCTTTTGGTATTATTTGGAGGAAACATCTCATTTTTCATCGGGCAACTTGTGTGAAACATTTTCAGTTCAAGTGCTTTAATCATTAAAAATAAATTACATATTGTACTTTTACTATTAATTCAAAGCAAAGAAGTGTGAAGTCCATTATTGCTTTCAGTTGCATGTAGACATGCCTTTTTGGCAGCAGTCCAAGAGGGCAGGACAATTTTAACTCTGCAAGTTAATGTTTTAACCTGGTGGTTAAATAAAGACAAGTACGCAAGTGCAGAGTCACAGTCTCAGGAAGCGCGTTGACAGTTACAAGCACTTTGCACAGAGACATGGCTGTACGTATCTTTGAGGGTAAAGATCACGCAGCTGCTTACCTGCAGTACAGAGTGGCACCCCTGGAATTGATAAGTTGGATTATGGGCTACATGGAGAAAAAAGTAAGTCTTAATGCATCTTCTTTAGCACTAACTACACCTTATAAATGCTTGTGTAAAGAACACACCTGTGGCATTGCATGAAATAGCTCTTTTGGAGGCTTACACAATGTTATACCTGAGAATACTTGAGATAAATGTTATCATGATAGAAGTGTTGCCAAACCATTATTTAGCATTGTAGTTATGTTTCTAGTCATCTGTTAAAAAAGCAGTCAAACAAGTTTATAATCTTAAGGTTTAACTTTTCAGACAACAAACCAGTTCAACCTTGCAGTGGATGTGGGCTGTGGTTTGGGCCAAGGGACAGTCCTACTGGCTCCATACTTCACCAACGTTGTTGGAACAGATATCAGCCCCGCTCAGCTGGAGATGGCTAAGGCCCAGAGCAACCCTCCAAATGTATCATACAGGTATGATAGAGGCATGGTAAGGACTTTGGTTAAACCGTTTTCTTTTTGTTTAAGTCCAAGGGTGGTGCCAAATATCCTCCAAGGTGTATTGATGACTTTTGATTGATGACCCCAGGGAGTGTCCAGCAGAGGAGTTATCGTTCGCGTCAGGTGAGGTCGATCTTCTGTTGGCCATGACGGCTGCTCACTGGTTCAACCACCAGAAGTTTCTCCTGGAAGCTGACAGGGTGCTGAGGCCTGGAGGCTGCCTGGCTCTCCTGAGCTACACGATGGACTTTGAGCTGGAGTATGGGGATATCTCCGACAAGCTCAATGACATCTGTAAAGAGGTTCATCCTAAAAATAAAAACTCAATTCTTGGAATTTATTCAGCATTTCTCAAATATAGATGTCTATGTACACGTTTCAGTACGTTTAATATTATCTTGGGGGGATAAGAAAGTGCTTTTTAGAAATAAGTGATTTAAATACCCATACATTCTTCACTGGAAGGCAAAGTGAATTAAACCATTTATCCAATACCCTTTCAGTGTGAATTTTTTATATGTCAAATCCCATTTGATGCATGACATTATGTACTTTGTCATCAAACCCCCTACACTGGCAGTATAAATGCCATGGTTCTGAATAACTTTGCATATAAGCATGTAGAGAGAAAATAGGAAGGGACCAAGGACTGAGCCTTGAGGGACTCCACATGATAAACAGGGATAGAATTAGTCACTGTCATACCATATCCTTTATACACATGGAAATACGGATTAATTATGCAAAGTTGCTTAAACATATCTTTCCCTTTTTTCTAAATTAGTTTTATGCTGCCCTATTACTGTTAGGTGATCCCCATATAGGAACAAACTCTGTGAAGATCTACTCAGACATGTTTGAGTCCTGCTCTTATCCGGACAAGGAGTGGTGAGTATCGGACACTTATGCCCTTCAAGGAATTAACTGGCACAAGCAGCTCGTCCACTTGCAGATCAAGTGTCATGCTCATCTCATGTTGTTGAGTGTTTCACTATACAGCCTCAGTCTTTCCTTCTTTTGTGTCCAGGGTTGAGTGTCTGAGGGTAAAAAGGACTATGCCACTGAACAGGTACATTGGCATGGTGGAGACCTTCTCCAGCTGTCAGAAGTTGCTGCGAAAGGACCCCACTGAGGCTAAACGTCTTTCTAATGATATCAGGAATAAGTGAGATATTAACCTCCACCCTCTTTCACAAGTCTAATAATTAACTTCTGGCCCTGAGCTCTCACCTCCACTTGCCTTACACTTGACCTAAATTCATTTATCATTATCAAAAACTGCTAAAATTTGTCACTGATTACTGTCACATACTTTAGCATTATGGTATGGTAGTAAAATGTATGTTCAATTCACCGGCAAAAGCTCTGCTGGACATTCCTGCAATCAGCATGCAAATTGCACACTCCCCCAAAACATGTAACATCTGTTGTGTGATAAAGCTCCAAATTTCAGAGTAACCTTTTATTGACCAGCCCAAGGCACAACTGTATAATAATTTTGCTGTTTAATTAGCAACCTGATATGTCTCACCTGTCTGATGAGGTGGTGGATTATTTTGGCAAAGATAAGTGCTTACTTACACAGATCAGATTCTAACAAATTTGTGACAAAATTTAAGAGAAATGAGCCTTTCATGTGCATAGAAACAGTATTCAATCTTTTATTTCAACTCCTGTAAAAAATAAAAGTGCATTTATATTGGTCGGCGTACTTCAAATTTCCTCCACTATTTATTAGGGTACTATTGTAATCCTAGGTATTCTTCTTCTTTCTTCTTTCTTCTTCCGAGGAAATCATACTTCCCATGGTTGAAAACTCACCAAACTTTGCACAAAGGTCCAGTCTCATGCCAGATATCCTCAGCTGTAAACTCAAGCCAATAGTCCTGATGGTGGCGCTACAGCAAGCGTTTAAAGTTCAAAACTTTGAAAATTCACAACAAATCAACCATACGTGCTACAACTTCACAACTTTCATCAAACTGTAGCCCCAATACTGAAGAAACTTTTGTACATTTAAACCTATTAAAAATTATGAAGTTCATCACTCTGTTTTTTTCAAAAACTGTAAAACTTCTTAAACCTATCTCCTCCCACAATTTTTACTCAATTGACACCAAACAATGTTCATGAAAAAAATGACAAAATTCTAGAGTGACGGTAGATGATGTGTGGCAAATTTCAGAATTTTATCTCAAAAACTGAATTTTTGACAGCATTTTGAATTTTGCTCTTATGTGAACAATTGGAGTCAATGTAAAAATGGCAATTTTAAACATCAGTTTTTCACTTATGGAGCAAATCATTCATTGTTACAAACAAATTACCAACATCTCCATGCTGTCTAGATGCAATATGTGTATTTTCAGATTTTTGTTTCGATAACTGAATTTTTTACAGTGGTTTGAAATCTGCTTTTCCATGCATGGGCGGCTGCTTAACCTGCACGTCTGGCTTAGTCAGTTTGTGAAGCTGCACATGAATTGTTACTGACTAATTAGCTCATTAAGATAGAAGTTCTTAGTCTCAGAGGTTGTGAGTTCAAGCGTCAGCTGATGCAAAAGGCAGATTGTGTTGCTAAATGTCTTCCAATTCTTCTGCTTGTTGTTCAGAATTGCCTAAAAATGCCCAGACCCGACCCATCGCTGCGCAGCAGCTATAATTTCAGTTAGTTTCCATCTTCATGTAGCCATTAGTCTTTCCATTGATTTATTTTAACCATTCTCTCTTCTTGTCGTCAATCCCAGGTTGTTGTCTGCCATGCAGACATCTTCTGATCCAGAAGTGACAGTGGTTGTCAAGTATTTCTATTGGCTGGCACGCGAACCTTGATCACTCTGACTGGCTGAATCCTGTGCACCAGATCCCAAAACCACAGCTGTAGGTTTGATCAGAAGTGACACAGACCTGAGAGGCCAGGTGCATACAAATCTATTGGTGCTACTCCTCCTACTGTATGTTAAGAATCTCGTACTCGTACTTGATGTCCTCCGCTTATCCGGGTCCGGGTCGCGGGGGCAGCAGCCTCAGCAAAGAAGCCCAGACAGTCCTCTCCCCCGCCACTTCCGTCAGCTCTTCCGCGGGAACCCCGAGGCGTTCCCAGGCCAGCCGGGTGATGTAGTCCCTCCAGTGTGTTCTGGGGCAGCCCCGAGGTCTCCTCCCGGTTGGACATGCCCGAAACACCTCCCAAGGGAGGTGTCCGGAAGGCATCCTTACCAGATGCCCGAACCACCTCAACTGGCTCCTCTCGATGTGGAGGAGCAGCGGCTCTACTCCGAGTCCCTCCCGGATGTCTGAGCTCCTCACCCTATCCCTAAGGCTGAGCCCAGCCACCCTGCGGAGGAAACTCATTTCGGCCGCTTGTACTCGCGATCTCATTCTTTCGGTCACTACCCAGAGCTCGTGACCACAGGTGAGGGTTGGAACGTAGATCGACCGGTAAATTGAGAGCTTCGCTTTCTGGCTAAGCTCCCTCTTCACCACAACGGACCGGTTAAGCGCCTGCATCACTGCTGACGCCGCCCCAGTCCGCCTGTCAATCTCCCGCTCCATCCTACCCTCACTCGTGAACAAGATCCCGAGATACTTAAACTCCTCCACCTGAGGAAGGACCTCCCCCCTGACCTGGAGTGGGCAATCCACCCTTTTCCGGCTGAGGACCATGGCCTCAGACTTGGAGGTGCTGATTCTCATCCCAGCCGCTTCACACTTGGCTGCGAACCGCCCCAGCGAGAGCTGGAGGTCACTGTTCGATGGAGCTAGGAGGACCACGTCATCCGCAAAAAGCAGGGACAAGATCCTCCCATCACCGAACCTGACACCCTCCACCACTCGGCTGCGCCTAGAAATTCTGTCCATAAAAGTTATGACCAGACCTGGTGACAAAGAGCAGCCTTGGCGGAGTCCAACCCTCACCGGGAACAGGTCCGACTTACTGCCAGCCACGCGAACCAGACTCATGCTCCTTCGGTACAGGGACTGGATGGCCCTTAGCAAGGGGCCACCAACCCCATACTCCTGGAGCACCCCCCACAGGATGCCCCTGGGGACACGGTCGTAAGCCTTCTCCAAATCCATAAAACACATGTGGACTGGTTGGGCAAACTCCCATGCCCCCTCCAGCACCCTGGCGAGGGTAAAGAGCTGGTCCACGGTTCTACGTCCGGGACGAAAACCACATTGCTCCTCCTCAATCTGAGGTTCAACCATCGACCGGACCCTCTTCTCCAGCACCCTGGAGTAGACCTTACTGGGTAGGCTGAGGAGTGTGATCCCCCTGTAGTTGGAACACACCCTCTGGTCCCCTTTCTTGAAAATGGGGACCGCCACTCCTGTCTGCCACTCCAGAGGCACTGCCCCCGATGTCCACACAATGTTGCAGAGGCGTGTCAGCCAGGACAGCCCTACAACATCCAGAGCCTTGAGATATCCAGGACGAATCTCATCCACCCCCGGGGCTCCGCCGCCTCGGAGTTGTTTCACTACCTCAGCAACTTCTGCCCCAGAAATTGGACGACCTGCCACCGAGACCCCCGTCTCTGTTTCCTCACTGGAATACGTGTTGGTGGGATTGAGGAGCCCCTCAAAGTATTGCTTCCACCGCCCGACAATGTCCCCAGTTGACGTCAGCAGCTCCCCGCCCCCACTGTAAACAGTGTGAGCAAGTTGCTGCCTTCCCCCCCTGAGGCGCCGGACGGTTTGCCAGAACCTCTTTGGAGCCGATCGGTAGTCTTCCTCCATGGCCTCACCGAACTCCTCCCACGCCCGAGTTTTTGCCTCCACGACTGCCCCTGCTGCGCTCCGCTTGGCCCGCCGGTACCCGTCAGCTGCTTCCGGAGACCCACAGACCAACCATGCCCTGTAAGCCTCCTTCTTCAGCCTGACGGCTCCCCTCACCTCTGGTGTCCACCAGCGGGTTCGGGGATTACCGCCGTGACTGGCCCCAGCGGCCTTGCGGCCACAGCTCGCAACCGCCGCCTCGACAATGGCAGAGCGGAACAAGGCCCATTCGGACTCAATGTCCCCCTCTGCCCTCAGGACGCGGTCGAAGCTCTCCCGGAGGTGGGAGTTGAAGATCATCTGGACAGGTTCTTCCGCCAGGCATTCCCAGCAGACCCTCACTGTTCGTTTGGGCCTGCCAGGTCTGCGCGGCGTCTTCCCCCACCATCTGATCCAACTCACCACCAGGTGGTGATCAGTTGACAGCTCTGCTCCTCTCTTCACCCGAGTGTCCAGAACATATGGCCACAGGTCAAATGATACGACTACAAAGTCGATCATTGACCTGCGACCTAGGCTGTCCTGGTGCCACTTGCACCGATGGACATGTTAAGAATCACTTGAACTAAAACAAATTATTTAGATTACCTCCCTCCTTTTAAGATCAGTATGTACTGGGTTTATTTTTATATTTGATTTTTTTGTAATGATGCAAGTATGTAATGAACCTGCCGTATGAATACTGACCTCTGTGAATACAGAACCTTACAAAGTGAACACTAGATGGAGCCTTGTCATACAGTGATGGATGAGATTCTTATTGAAGTCCACTTTGAGCCTTTTGTACAGCCTTGAAATTGTACTTTTCTTGAATGAACTTCTTATTTCATGACATGGATCAGAAATATCCACTTGTTTTCAGTATATCCATATCTTTAGATATTAAAAATATTAATATAACTGCAACAGATTTTGTTGTCTGTTAATCACAGTTGTTTTCAGTTGCTAAAATACATTGGTCAAAACTAAAGCTATGAAACTATGGATCATTTTTACTGCTTTCACTAAAAGTGCAACAAATCACCACATTTTCCAAAATCCATGAACAGTATCCTGTAAATTGAAATATATAAAAGAAAATTATATGGTAATTAATTCAAACACAGCTAATTGCAATTTCAACAGGTTTTTGTCTCGTTACCAAACAGACTAAAGGGGACAGCTTGGATTTTATTATCTTATTTTATTTTATTTAACTGTATTTATTTTATTTATTTTTGTAAGTATTATTGCAGCCTTGGAATTTCAGATTTTGTTTCTATTATTCATTTATTTTAATTAATTATTCATTCATTTTTGTTTATTTCAACTTTTAATTTTTCACAAGTGAATAACTATATTATGCAAAGATATAAAATACCAAAGGATATTAAAACAAATTGCTGGTACCCTGACTGGTACCAGGATGAAATCCTCAGAGCGCCCTGGGTTCCTCCTGGTGCAGAACAATGCCTCATGTGGCCAGAGTGTGTAGCCACTTCCTGGATGCCACTGACTGGCCCTCTCCTTCCCCTGACCTAAATCCAATTGAGCACTGATGGGACATTTTATCCGTGCATCTGCCAAGTACCACCACAGACTGTCCAGGAGCTCACTGATTCCCTGATCCAGGTCTTGGAGGAGATCCCCCTGGACACCGTCCTCCGACTCATCGGGAGCATGCCCAGATGATGATGGGAGTGTATACAGGCACATGGGGGCCATGCACACTGCTGAGTCACATTATGAGGTGCCACGATAACATTCACACAAGTTGGATCAGCCTGTGATTTACATTTTTTTACTAAGAAGGCAGTCTGAGTTAAGCCAGTTACCAACTTTTCTTTCAGGGAGAATTATTAATATGTCAAATACCATTTGATGCATGACCCTGTGTGTAGGTGGTAATTTAACCACTTACACTAGCTGTTGTCCAGTAAGTGGCACACCAGTCATTTTCATGCCATATCATTAAGAGAAAATAAAACGCTTGATTTAAAGCTAAGAAAAGAAGCTACCCGTACCTGCTCAAAAGCAGTTGTGCTCTGATTATTCCTTTTCACATCAGCTGAATCAAATAAGTCAAACAGAGAGTGTAAATGCTATGAATACATTTTTATTCACAGCTAAGGCTCGGTGAAGTAAAGAGCGAGAGTCAGACATATACACTGTGACATCTGGGAGTTCACTGGCACAGAGCAGTTTTAACTGTCTTGCTTAGGGGCGTGTGTGTCCAGGAATCAGTGTCGGAGGTTAAAAAGGACTCTGCCACTGAGCTCACACTTTGGCATGTTAAGACCTCCTCCTACTATCTGACACTTCTAGAAGAGAATCCAGCTGAGGCTGAATGTCTTGCTAATGACATCAGAAACAGGTGAGATATTAACCTCCACCTCAACCACGGGTCTAATCGTTAACTTCTGGCCCTGAGCGCTCACCTCCACTCGCCTGGCGCTGCGCGTTGATCTCTTAATCTCCACTTAAATTCATTTATCATTATCAAAAACTGCTGAAATTCATCTTTGAATGCTGTCACAGTCTTGAGCATTAATCAGAAAAGCCAAACACTGCTTGACTAAGCTTAACTGTTGAAAGCATTTACTGCTTTGATAATATAGCCACCATTAATTCCCCTGCCACTGACAGGACAGAATAGCCCAGCAAACAAAATGGAAGTGCTGAGCCATAACTTTTACATGGATTTAAAAAAAAAGACATTGTATTTAATTACTATCACAGTTTGGGAAGATTTACACACAGTTCTGCTCGCTGTCACCTGTGTTTTGTCTTGTAGGGAGGACACAGTCATTTGAGGTCTTACTTTCACTTTATATTTTCCTCATTAATTAATTTCAGATCTTTTTAAAATATTCCATTTCTTCTTGACTACCATCCCAGATTGGTGTCTACCATTAAGGCATCTCTTCCTGACACAGAAGTTATACTAGCTGTGAAGAATTACTATTGGCAGGGATGCAAACCTGTCCGACCAAGTACTTTCCAAAGTTCTGGGTTTGTGACTTCTTTAAACAAACCAATGTCTAACTTTGACCCTTTGTCAGGAGTTGTGGTATGATCAGCTCAACCAAAAAGACCTTCTGTTTGTCAAGAACCCCAATAGTCTAAATAATACTGATTTTTTGTATGCAAATTGTATGCAAATGTTTGGTGTTTCTTTTCACCACCCATGCCACCCATCAGACATATCTAGCAACCCCTTTTGGAGGCTCTGACCCCCAAGTTGGAAACCACAGCTTTGGGTTTCACCTGGAAGCAACACAAACCCGCACAGCGGA